GTCACACATGGGGATTGGGCGAGGGCATGCGCACATGGCATGAGTCAGACCCAGGCCAGGAAGGTGTGGCCACATGCGAGCTGGGAGACCTGGCCGAAACCAATCAACCAATCACGATCGGGCTGGGCACCATGCTTCAACAGTGGGCACCAGATGATGACAGAAGACTACGGCCACCGGGCCCACTCGGCTACCCTCAGAAGTAGACAAACGGGCTTGCCGGGCTCGAGACATCTGGCAGAAGTAGCGACAGGAGGGACAGTCGATCCGGCCTGGACAGAAGAGATAGCCGGCATCTGGACAACGCGTAACCTGGCCTGACGTGACGAGTTGCGTGGAAAAGGCGAGAAAGACGCAAAACATGTACAAGCAGGAATCGGCCAATTCACCTCGGCCGCTCACGGCTACAGGCTCGAGGAATCGGGCTAGTGAGCCTCGAGAGTGCAGAAAACAGGGGAGACAGACAAAGCCGAAGGGTAGATTGATCAAGGACTCATTGGCCGTCACTTACACTCCTATGGTTTACGACTCATTTGACCGAACACTTGCAATGCCAATCAGCAAAGCCGGAAACAAACTTGCTACCATGGCCTGGACACGAATCTCCGCATAAGGTACCATGACTGCTAGAGAACCGAGTTAAAATATAGCCGTACTCATCGGAGCGCTGTGTGGTATCGAATGAACGACTTGCAAAACACAAATCGTCTCTTTGTCGGCTCTAGCAAAGATGGCCTAAAAGTGAAAACTAAACCTTGTGTGCCAACCCACAAAGGTTGGGGTTCAAAATTGAACCTAATCAAAGCTAGCAGTACCACAACAGTTGTGGGTTGGCACAAGCGAATAGAGCATGGCAAGTCATAGACTGGGCATTAGTGATAGAGACAGGATAGACGAGGTTTTACGAGAGACGTGGTCCATGTAGCAAAGGCATTACCACGAGACCAAATTTGAGGTTTTAGCCTCGAATTAGTCACCCAGACGCAGGGAAGGGCGAATAACGCCTCGAGTAGCACAGATGGTGGAGCAAGGGTCGAATGAAATACATGTACCAGACGAATTCGACGGAGAAAGAGGGAGATTTTGATAGGACCCAGGGAAGGACTACATAACAATATGACAGACTCAGGTCAACATTC